GGCTAATTGATAAATCATATTCTTCCACTTTTTTACAGTGGCTAATTGATAAATCATATTCTTCCACTTTTTTACAGTGGCTAATTGATAAATCATATTATTCCACTTTTTTTTACAGTGGCTAATTGATAAATCATATTCTTCCACTTTTGTTTACAGTGGCTAATTGATAAATCATATTCTTCCATTTTTTTACAGTGGCTAATTAATAAATCATATTCTTCCTCTTTTGTTTACAGTGGCTAATTAATAAGTCATATTCTTCCACTTTTTTACAGTGGCTAATCGATAAATCATCTTCTTACACTTTTTTACAGTGGCTAATCGATAAATCATCTTCTTTCACTTTTTTACAGTGGCTAATTGATAAACCATATTCTTCCACTTTTTTACAGTGGCTAATTGATAAATCATATTCTTCCACTTTTTTACAGTGGCTAATTGATAAATCATCTTCTTCCACTTTTTTACAGTGGCTAATTGATAAATCATCTTCTTCCACTTTTTTACAGTGACTAATTAATAAATCATCTTCTTCCATTTTTTTACAGTGGCTAATTAATAAATCATCTTCTTCCATTTTTGACAGTGGCTAATTAATAAGTCATCTTCTTTCACTTTTTTACAGTGGCTAATTACTGGATCCGAGAAAAGGGTCAGATGCTTCGGAGACCGTGTAGCCTGAACCAGGAAGAATAAGTTTGGATGTTTATTCACCCTGTCAATTAACCCACAGTAACTTTGACTGTCAACCAATTTTCACCAGTTATAGTGGACTACTGAACCCTGTTTAAACTTGTATTCTTGCAAAGTGTTTAAATTTTTATTAGCCCTAAATGTTGAAATTTATATATCATCACCAGTTTTTCGTTTACTGCTGAATGGTATTATAGTTGAATCATCTAAACGGTTTGAACATATATAAAATTCACATGTATTTCTGATTACCAATCTAAAACTACAAACTTTCTTTGTAAATACACTGTGTTATTTTTTCTTTGGCCGCCTGTGTCAGTACTATATGTTCCACATCAACATGCCAATTTTAATAACTCAATTTCTCAGCTTTTGTATACAAAATAGTAATAATAAAACTACAATATTTTTTTGGTATTTTATACTATCATGTTTATGTTATAAACAATCATAACAGTATGAAAATAGTATAGTTTAACAATTCAGATTTATATTAACCGTAAATTTTATGATGATAAATGTAATCGTTGAAGTTTTCCAGTTAACTTAAAAAGTGCGCAAGTGCATGAAGTAAACATGACCAAAAGAAGGGGATAGTAGTACTCAGAATAAATTATAGTTATTACCATAAAAAGGCTTAGATAAACAATACGAATGACTGTGGAGGAGATGAAAGTTGTAATAAAGAATATTTTTTCCTGTAAAACTGAATATTACTGAAGCGAAAGTGAAGATTATACAATTACCATGCTCAAAATATTTCGAGGAGCATCATGTATATTGTTTGCATCTTTATCATATCCTTCTTGAGATTTCAAAATCGTTCTGAACTATAAAAAAAAAGAAAAGAAAGTGAAACAGATTAATCTAAACTGTTAAATTGCTTATAACGAAAGTATAAAAAAGACGAAGGTTTGCCTTTCGAAAGCGCTCGGGTTATAGGGTTTTATTCATTTCTATCCAGACTTCTTGAATCTACGTATTTTTTTAACATCATAAAAAACGTGCCACTGAAACGTTAAACAAGTTGTAAGGGGTTTTTTTTTTTGTTGTTGTTGTTGCCAGCCAATCGGAATTACTGTACCATTTTTATCGAATGAAATAACATGTGAGATTCTGATTTTTAACAAGAAATATTTCTTAAAGAAATCTACCGATATCAGGCTGTTTTCTTTGAAATTAAATTACATTGTCTCTCAACTTTTATTCTGTGGTTTAATTTGGTATTTCAAGTAGTGATAACTCCAGCTGTACTGAAGAAGTTTTTTTTCTTCTCACAATATTTTTCTTACAAAAAAAAAGGGCGAAAATCGTGATTAATGTACTTAAATAAACTTTTACTTTAAAAAATAAATATAGTTTACTGTCTTTGTGAAAAATGATAAGGGTTGTAATATTTTAAAATATCAAATATTTTAGTGTATAGTCTGACCACTAGGCTACGCTCGGCCCAGAAAACGAGAAAAAAATCCGTTTTCACAATGCTTCAAAATTTTAAAGATATTAATTTTGTTTAACTTCAATAAAAAGTATTTGAAATTGTCATTCTGACTACATGTTGCTCTCTCCCCCCTCTCTCTCTTTGTTTCACATATTTTATAAAGGGTTACCAACAGGTCAAAGTTTACAACTCTTACAATGTTATCACCCTCAATGCAGTTCCTTCCTGAACGATAAATTTACCTCGTCGTCATCTTTCGAGGTTTTGTTTTAACTGTTAATTAATTAAAGGCACCTATTTATGGTATATATTTTCTTCATTTTGAATATTAGGTAATGTTCAATCTACAAAATAAAATTTATTTATCTTTAAAAAAAATTCTATTGCATCTCTATTATGCAACATTACCAATGTACTTTTTAAACCAACAATGTATTGTAGTAAATAAAATATATTTAGTGTTACCTTTCTTATATTTAATTTATTAAAGTAAGCGTTCACCTAGAATTTTCAAAATGTTTTGTGCGCACATGTGTTTAGCTTTATGAGTTTTAACTACAAAACTTTAAATTCTTTCTCCTCTAGATATCCATTGTTCTATGTCATTTCCATTGTTTTCTTGTCACGAGGGGAAAATTGCTGTATAATAGAACATACTATGTAAAGGCGAATAGCGATCTTTTCCATCAGCGGGTCAGGTGATACCTTGAGGTACTGTCCTCATTAACTGTTAGAATATCCAACAGTGCCGTGGGTAACGCATACGCTCTGGGAAAGATTATGCTGTCGTATTTTGTACAGGGAAATTATATTCTTCCAGTCTTATTTGGAACTTCGCACTATTCGGGTAGTCTTCAGATTTTGGTCAGGTCTGCCTACTGGGTAAGAAAAATATTGTACGGTGTTCTAGTCACCCAAGAACTTTGATATGTGTTTTTGTTTAGTGAAGATTACTGCTCTCTTTGTTTTTACATGATGTTTGGTGTCTTTGAATTCACTCCGTCAGTCAAAGAGTTTAGCTTAATTACATAATACATTTTTCTGTCGAACCTCAAGTTATTTGTGGCTACTACTGAATCTGAACTATAAAATCAGTATATATAGGGAACATTTATTCATCACTGTATAAATTTACTTGTATTTTCTTTTATTTATAGCAAACTTACTAAGGTTATCTACTGACGTCATCCCCCTGTGGGACAGTGGCATGTCTACGGACTTACAACTCTAAAATCCGGGTTTCGATTCCCCGACGTGGATACAGCAGATAGCCCAATGTGGCTGGCTCCAAAATAAACAAACTTCCCTAGTTTCGACCACAGGGAAGGAAAGTCAGTCAGCATGGCTCTACTATCCACATTAAGATATTGCCTGTCACTCTTATAATGCACCCACAAGTACACAGAATATTTTTCTGCTATCTCACGACTCGAAACCGGCTTGCCATCTTGACTTTACTACATGAGCCGTGGTAATACATAGGGATAGTGATACTCATCATGTGATACGTGTTACCAGACTGAATTGTGCCAGCATTTAACTACTATTGTGGTACTTACTTTCACTGAGGGCTGGCTTGACGTTTTGGAAATACTCTACAGTTTGATAATAGTTCATGCTAATAGTATTAATTCTTACATGTGACTTTCCAACATAGGTTAAGGTTTATTGTGCCTTCTTAGTTTACACAAGAATTAGATGCCTGATGTTGGATTGTTACTTTACCTACAAATGTGTGCATTTTCAGTACAAACTAAAGATGTTGACAAACCTTCATATCTGACATACAAACAATGTGGACAGCTGCTCCAAGCATATTTTACACGTTTCTCCCTGATGTTAGTAAAAAATCATTTGATATTCTATTGTTTCTATAACTAAAAGACTTCTACTGATTCCTCCCATAAATAAGAACTCCAATGATGTTGATGCTGTTTCAGTTCTGTATTACAGAGTGCACTTTAAGTACGCTTCTTTACAGTGTGCGCTTTACGTGCGCTTCTTTACAGCGTGCACTTTACATAGATCAGTAGTAAAACACACCCAACTCAATAGTTTCTCTGTTAAATAAACTTGAATATTTTATGTTTACAGTACAGTTGTAGTGACTGAATGTCATTTGTTGTCATGTTTAGTAAGCCATATGATCACTTAAGTATAATTTTGTCTTAGTTATTATTTTAACAATATCTAATTGATAACACAGGCCTGCGAATTTAATCTTCATTAAAGTAGTTTTGGTTTTAATAGCTGATTTTCCATAACTTAGCTACGAAGATTTCGAAAATAATATTCATTTTTTATCACATAAGGATTTTTTACAAATCGGAAAGAAGAAAAACTCTTATTTAGATCAACTTATTATTTCATTTACCACAATTAATTTTCTTCTTATTATTATATTTGTTAACAAAAATACGAAAAAAACTGAAGGAAAGGAAAGAACACTGATGTCAAACAAATATGCATCCTCTTTCATCATGAATTGTTTTTGTGAAATCTACGTCTATTAGTCTCAAAACTACATCTTGTGGTCTTTCTTTTATGTATTGAGTTATGGCGTTTTGTGAAAAATCTGTACGTGATGGAGAAAAATTGATGTCATTTTCGGAATCAGTGTACAGGAATTATGGTACAACATGTAAACATTTCAAGACAATAAAACCATCGCAGGCCTGTGTGATTAAACTTAGGTACTGTATAGGCGACTAAACATTATAATAATGACTAGTTTGTAAAAAATAAAGAATGTAAATGTTTTAAAATGTTTTCTTCAAGTGAGAATAGGTACTACGAACAATTTCAAATAATTTATCATACATAAGTTGTGCTTTCTTCTGCACAGATTTCCATGTTACATTTTGATGAGAAGGTTTATGTAAGTAAGTACTGTATAACTGCTACTAATGATTTTTGTCAACACACAAGTTTAGGTACCCACGTTAACATATTTTCTTATTATAATTGTGTTTATTAATTAAACATTTTGACGAGAAGGTTTATGTAAGTAAGTACTGTATAACTGGTACTAATGATGGGATTTTAGTTAACACATTAGTTTAGTGACCCGCTTTAACATATTTACTTAGTATAATTATGTATATTAATTAAACATTTGGACGAGAAGGTTTGTGTAAGTAAGTACTGTATAACTGCTACTAATGATCTTAGTTAACACACAAGTTTAGTGACCCACGTCAACATATTTACTTAGTATAATTGTGTTTATTAATT